CAATTTCTCCATATATATTTGTTTTTGATCTCAAGTTTAACTAATCATGGTTTGCACTTAGATCATATGTATTTCTACAAGGCAGTATCCGTGTTAACCAATCGTTTGGAATCTCAAAATATTACAAAAAATGATAAATAGTAATTAGTTATAACTACTTATGTAAAAATATCAAATAACGTAATATGTTCCATTTACATGTATGCTAATGCTATTCTTCCATTTTTTATCTGACCTGTCTTTAAATTACAAATAGCCATGAAAAAAAGTGAAACACGGATATGGATAGTTTATTTTGTTTATTGTATCTAACAAGTGTAACTCGTTAATTTGATGGCACCACCAACTACCAAATGCTATAATCTTAAAAACTAAAATATAAAAGGTGTTTGGTTACGAATTGACTGTTACACGTTACAACTCAAAAGCAAGCCCACTTTCTATATAGAATATATATTGTTTGGTTGTTTTAAACTAAATTGCTCGTCGCGTTACACGTAAAAGCGAAATCGCCTTGCCTAATACTTTTTTTTATAATAAAGACAATAAGAATCTTAAACTGGCATTAATCATGACGGACCATGTGGGGATCTTTCATGCCTTGCCTATAAGCAACCACGAACTAATTATCACATCCTTCTTTTCTTCTTATTTAACAAAAACAAACAAAAAGACCACACATCAAATAACAATTAGAAGAAATTAAACCTAGCATACCTCTCCTAGGCCCTCTCACTATCGATTACATATATTTCATGACACAACAACATCGCATTTATTCACTAAAAGACATTTTCAATATTTTTTTTAGAAAAGCCAATAATTCTCTTTGACAAAAACAAATGCATCTTATTTTATTTTATATTCTAAGAAGAAAAATACTGAGTTCTGGACCTCCGTTTTTGTCCGGGTTCATCATGTAAAACGCCTCCGAGTCACGACCCCCCACGACTCGTTCAAACCTACCTCTCATGTACAACAACTCCCCAAGCTCCGTTCCACCACCAAAACCACCACCGGACACGTCATCGATACTCTTAGCCGTCGGAATAACCCCTGCTCCAACCGTAACCCTAGACACCGTGTTCAGCACGCGCCAATCAGACTCGGTACACGCACCGCCACGCGAGACCGCGTAACCGCACTTCCTCCCGTTGCAATACATCGTCCATTTGGGCTCGTGGAAAAGCTTCGTCCCCGATCGGTGACGCTTCTCGCACTCCAACGCGATCCTGACAAGTCCTGAGGACATCTCCTTGACGAGAGTTGCCGTTGACATGGCTAGGTCCAAGAGCAAGACCGGTTCGGATCTCCCATCGTACTGGACGGAAAACGTGACGTGTCCTCTTCTGTGTCCGTACAGAGTCCCGGTGACTCTTCTCCCGAGAGAAGATGAACCACCGGTTACGAATGAGATCAGTTGGTTAGAAACGCTGGATGAAGAAGAAGAAGACGGCGGAGAAGGAAGAGATAGAAATTTGCAAGTGGGGATGTTGATGACGCTGATGAGGGAACGTAACAAGGAAGAAAACTTCAAGTGGAGCTTCCCGATGGTGATAGTGGAAGAAGAGGATGATGACGAGGACGAAGAAACTGGTCGAAGGGAAACGGATGAGCATCTCCCGCAAGAAACGAGGAAGAGTTCGTGCTCATGGATTGTTGGGATCAAAGCGGAGGAGGAAGGAGAACGGGCGTGGGAGCCACGCGCCGGAGAAGTCGCCGGATTGATCTTTCTTGTGTTGCAGCTGAAGCTTCTCTGAAGAGCAAGGTCTTGGTACTGCAGCATTTTTATTATGATATATGTCGTAGTTGATCCACTGAGAAATTAAGAAAGAGAGAGATAGATGTTTATTTGATTGTGTCTGTATATTTGAGGAAGGAGAAAGGAAGAAAGCGGCCGACCAAAGTGATTATGAGTGTTCGAAGAGGTGTGCCCGATTTGTATGTGTATTTATACACATTTTACATGAATATTTTTTTAAAAGCATATATTTGTGATTATGTTATTTATTGCCTATCATTTGAGAGGCCCCAATAGTATATTGCTATCTTATTGGGAGTAACGTTATCAGAAAACATTGAGCTAGTTTAATAATCTCAGTATTAGAAATATTGCTTGTTTAACTTTTTAGCTATAACGCATTTGATACTCGTATGTGAATCGATTATCTTTTTGTAAAGCTTACTTTTTATATTTACATAAATATACACTCTTGTAAGAGTTTAAATAATTAAGGTATGTATATCTACAACTATGTCGTTTTTTTACTTGGATATGATTGATATACGACTACGACTTTGTAGTTTGCTAATTTGGTTTATTTAATTTACAAGTTCACATAATGAGATTTCATTTCACCATCATCAAAAGTCTCGCCTCCATCCGCTAATCCCAACCGTCCATTAGGGTGGGTCCACGATGGACCTGGCTAACAAAACTTGTTAATATTCTCATTTTATTGTGGAATTTTTGTTTTTAAGTTGACGCTCTCTTTTATTAATTTCTCGGAATTTTTATATGTTGACATTCATATCAGATATGGACAAGGGACAACGCAACTGGAGTCGTTGAACATCATTTGTTTGGCTTGAAACGGTGTCGCAGATATCCTTTTCCATATTGTCCCGGTCGTATGTAGTGACGTGGTCGCGTGTCTAAATATATAAAAGAAAAACGATTTTTGCCTAAACAACATAAACGGAGATAACTTTTTCACTTATAGTTTTATACATTGGTAAACTAACACCACAAAGACAACATCTGTCAAAATTTAAATAATGTAAACCGATAATCTATGCAACTAAGTTGTTTTTATTGGTTAAATATATACATATAGTTTAGCACGCGCGTGATTATGCTTTTATCGTTGATGTTAGTACGTGGACATGAATTAATTAAAGATTAGAGGCCATGTATATAATATGCAAAGACCTAAGAAACTAACTCATAAGCTAATTATTTCAAAAATAATGTATACCTTGAAGAAATTATTAGTTTTTGTATATATGTATCTCAGATGAGATTTTGAACACTCATAGAATAAGAAAAAAATAACATGATAAATAGATTTTAGAGAGACACAGTAACTAATTCTTATAATTATATGTTTGTAACAATACAGTACACACATATAGGTCACACCATAAATAAGCGGCACGTAAACTTGCGTTCATCATTAAAATCAATAAATAATGAATAACTATAATAACCAATTAACCATCCCAAGCTAAGAGTATTATAGTTAAAACCGATTGGATAGTATAGAAAACAGAGATTTGTAAACGGAAATTAATTACGATATTGGGCGGTTCCAAACACGGGATATGGTTCCTGGTTCATGATACTATATTGGTTACCTAATTAACGACATCACAAACCGCAAATCATCGGACACATGGTTTTCTTTGATTGACTGGTTTCCCACACACACACACACAAAATACTCTACTTCAATTTTACAACTAAGCACTTTAAATTTATTCATCAACGGAAGAAAATAGAAGAAAATGTAAAGTGTAAATATATAATATTTAAATTTGGAGTTTGTCTAACTTGGTTTATACCCATATTTATCATCGTCTATAACAAATGTCTACATAATTCGATCGAGGAATCTAATTCTCGGACTATATAACATGTTGTGTTCCATTTGTGGATCCCTCGCTACAAAGTATATCTATCCCTCATAAAAGCACAACATTAGGTCGGCCTTGTATTGAAAACATCAATTAAGGCTTCAGGCTTGGCTACTTGGTTTACAGTTACAACCACATCGTGAACAATCTCACTCAGCACATTTTACCAATAAAATGCAAAACTTAACTCCAAAAGAAAACTTGCTTTCACAGCTACTGCAATAGATAGACTAAGATTATCAGAGATAAAGGTACACAACTAAACAAACCCCATGAATCCATGATGATCCCACTCACGCTACAAGAAACAATTTTAGAAGAAAACTTTCAATTGTCATTCACACATATCAAAGTACTACTTGTAGATACAATTGCAGCTCAAACCAAGGGAAAAGAGAACTCTAGTTTATTAAACTCAAGACTCGATGACAATGACATAAAAGAACTCAATCCAAAGCACAGCCGACTATGATGAGTTTGATAACACCTCAAATGCTTAACAGACATGAAAACACACCAAATTAACAAGACTGGTTGCATCCTACACTCAACAAGACAAGATGACCGAAAGTTTACATCCTACACTTAATAATAACATCATGAGACTTACAAAATTTTCAATCTTACACCCTTAGTTCATATTGATAAATAACAAATCTCTAGCTTGTCATGACAGGACAAATCATAGCTTTTCATCACACTTGCACCAGCAGAATGAACAAACCAAATGAATTTGAGAATACTTTTTCATTACATATTATGATTTTATTTTTCCATCTTGAAATAATACTTTATCTCTTGAGAATATATTCGTAAACACAGAATTAGTTATGAAAATTTAAAGACATCACACTTACAATAAGATGTCTTAATTTAAGGACATAAATATGTTTATCTTTCAATTACAATTATGTTTACAAAGTTAAAAACATCACACTTACAATAAGATATTGTCACTCAAGACCTTACCAAAAATTGTTACAGTTTCTTCATATCTTATATGTAACAAGCAATCGAGGAACCTCTATTAGAGATGATTTAGTTATAGTTTAGTTGGGTATCTTTGGTTTACTTTGCTTGTACATATAAGCTTTAGTTTGTATCTCGTTTACATTTGAATGAAGGAATTATATATTTCCCAAATTTGATTTCTCTCAAACGAACTTTCATGGATAATCTCATTTGGTAAAATCCTCTCTAAATCTCTTTCTAATGGAGAAATCATAGGAACGAGTTAACGTTTCTCTGAATTTTCTCAAGTCAGGCTTCACGTTTTGTCCCTGTAGATACCTGTTTAACTACTTAAGACTTGTGTATTTGATACCTGTTTTTACCTGTTTATGCGGAAAAAAAAAATATAAGATAAACCTATACGCTTTATAGGATTTCATATTTTGACTAATTTCTAGGACGAAGTTACACTGTATGATGATGAGTAGAATATTTTAAGAATTTAAATGTCATTCAAAACTTTACATAAAAAATGGTTTATGTATATAAAAAAATGGGTGTATGCTTTTTTCTTGCCTATGTTAAACGAGGAACTTCCTCTCTAAGCCTCCTTCTAATGGAGAAATCATAGGAACGAGCTAACGTTTCTCTGAATCTTCTCAAGTCAAGCTTCACGTTTTGTCCCTGTAGATATATTTTCTTCGTATATTCCCATCCTTTCTCGTTGAGACTCTCCGGATCTCGGATTATAGGATCATCTTTGCCATATTCATCGTATAAAGAGCTCTCTCTCGGCGCAATCTTGTATCCAACGTACTTCAATCCTAGCTTCTTTGCCGGTTCACCATAGTATGTCTCCGCCGCCCAATCAGTCCCTAACGGAATTATCTGAATGAAAACGGTTTTCGGTTTCAAGAAAAGGAAATGAGTCATCGCCGCTCCATGTACACCGATCATTACATCGCTCGTGTTCATGGAATGATAAATCTTAGCCATCTCTGTTCTTTTGTCCGGCCTTAGAACCTCGACACTGAACCCGGTTTCTTCTGCTAGCTTCACAAGCAGATTCTCGTTTAGTATCGCTCTCGACGATCCGTTTCTTGATAGAATCACCAGCTTCGGCTTCTTCAAGTCAAGTGTTGTTGTTGTTGTCTTATTCGCCTCTGTTTCGTCTTGAACCAAGCTTTGGATGCGAGGCGAATAAGCTCGGTCCAAAACGTTTCTGAGATCAACAATGGTTTGATTCCCATTAACCATCAGTGTAGAATTCACCGTTAACTCGTCGTGGATACGCAATCCAACGGTTGCTTCCTTGAAACAATGTGTTCTTGAATCTCCATTGAAATCGACCAGTGGATAATCCGAGAGCTGCGAAACGATGTCTCCGTATTTCATCTCCCACCAATCATGATACTCGACGATCACAAACACAACTTTTTTGTTGAAATGCTGTGAAGTTATAAACAAAGGGATGATCCCGTCGTTGAACTCGTGATAGACGTTTCCTGTGTATCCGCCCGTGGAGAAGAACACTGCAGGAACATCGTGGTACACATCGCAGACACGATCTGGAGATTTGTTTGAGTCTTTGGTGATGAGGTTGAGTTCTTGAACAGTGTCCATCACACTGGTTTCCCATTTTCTGGTGTAAGGTTTGATCTTTTCGGGCTTTGTGTTGTTCTTGGTGGAGGTGTAGAGGAATACTGACGAAGAAGCAGAGTTTGTTCGAACATCGCCTTTCATAACGCAGGTGTCAGATCTCAAACCGGTTCTGTCACAACAAATGGTTCCTACATAGAGATGAAAAATCGATAACCGTAAGTTTGAGTTTTAAATTAAGACAACAGAACAGAGTTGTTCTGTTTCTTGAATATTTTAACAAAAGGAAGGAGAACAGAGTTGTTCTGTTTCTTGAATCTTTTAACAAAAGAAAAGAGAACTATTAATGGATTTCGTCAACAATTTCGGATTGGATTGAAAAGGAAACTAAAATACTAACCATTGGAGATATCTGAGCAGAGAGGGGCTGTGGATGGCTCGTAAGAACTAAGACCTTCGCTTTCTCTGCTAAACGAATCTGCAGAAGAAGAAAAAGAGAGACGTTGATTAGTAAATCAGAAATATGAACTCCAAAAAGAAGAAGATCGTATGCGAGAGATAGAGAGAGAATAATCATACCTAAAAGAGAGAGAGTGGAGAAGCCGAAGAGATAAGGAGACATGATGAAACAGCAAGAAAGGATAGAGAGGAAGAGAAGAGATAGAAACTTTTGTTTAGCTCTCTTCAAGCCACCACCTTCCTCTACTGAAACTCTAAACCTCTCTTCTTTTCGTCCATGGTGGATGATTAACCTCTGGTACTGCACCATCTTCTCGGGGGAAGTGCAAACACAAGGGAAAAAAGAAAAGCAGAAACCCAGAACCCAAGTTTTGATTTTGAGGAAGGTTTTGATCACTTTGGTGACGTTTCAAGCAATTACAGAGAATATGATCACCGGAAAACTAATTTCTCTAGTCAGAATAACTTTTCTTCGGAAGGAAGGATAAGGAGATGAGTGTCTCTGATGGTTTTAAAGAGACTTTTTGATACACACGCATATATACATACAACTATTTTTAACGAGTGAAACTATAAAAAGAATTAAATAAAATGTTTTGTTTTTAGTTTGGATTTTTTTAATATTTGGGATTTAGTGGACTTTTCCTCTGGTTTTCGATAAAGAACACGGAAACAACAGAAAGAAGACGGCTGTCAAACTCAAGTGTTTGGTCAAAGTCAAGTTAATCTTTAATTTTTTTCCATTTTTTTTGTTGTTGCATCGTACACTCGTTTTTATTTTTACCTTTTTTCAATTTGTCAGAACATTCCTTTTTACCCTAGTGGGCTGGTGAATGATGGATGATTCGTTTGGAACAACAAGCGAAGTTACGTAAGGAAAGGTTTTTATTCAGACGACCAGAAACGGCACGAAACTTGGTCTCGTGAGCCTAAAACGGCGTGAAGTTTAAAGGTTTTCATATGCATTTTTGTTGAGCATGTGGGCATGTGCATGAAGCCGAACATCTACTTTGACAATCAGTTTCGCATGTATAAGCTACTTTACAAAAGGCAATGAGTTGTATCTTTTGCAGCAGATATTTATCATAAAAATGAATATTTAATTTTTATGATAAATATCTGCAACGACAGCTTATCCCTTTTCCAAGTTCCAATTATTTCCCAAAACTCAGACGATAAGATTGTTAAAAAAAATTTGCTCTCTTCCTCTGTTCCATTTTTTATAACTTTATAATTGCCTGAATATCGTCGGATATTGATTTTTTTTTTTTTAATGTTAAAGATTTATAAAATTGGTAGATTTTTTGCTCTCTTCTTCTGTTATACAGAGAAGTATCCAATGTTATAAGAAATATGTTAAGCGCTAACGCGTAACCGGACATCTAGCATAATAGAAGATGATGATCTAGGCCACACTAAGATATTAATATTATTGTGTAATATGTTTATAGTAAACTTAATATTAGATTTTATTCTAATGGCATTGGCACAATGCCGCCGCATTGGTTCTAATTAAATAGTTTTAGATGGAACCTCGCCAATGTTGGTTCCGGGAATCAACCCAAACCAGGTTCATTTACAAATCAGCTTCTAGAACTTTAATTGAAGGAAAACCCTTTCACAAACAAATAAAATTCTTTGTAATCGATGAAAAATCCAAAAAGCTAAAGGTACGGTAAGTCGGTGATTGGTTTTCCTTTATGGTGTCTCACCGCTCGCGTATGCTAAATACGAGATTCTGTCCAACAAAAGTCACCTCAAAAACCTTAGTTTTAGTATATTTCTCCTTGGTTTTATTAATTCTCTATCCAGTAAATATTTATGTGGTTTATAATAATACTATACGTGTTTCAGTTTAAATAACATAAATCTATTAATCTACATATTCAAATGAAATAAAAGTGGAGTTTGAAGCTATTTTCGATTCCGACCACTTTCACTACTTAAAAGTTTCTATTATTTTCCGATATGAGCCGGTGAAAATATGGTTGCCCAAGCACAAAGGGAGTCACCAATATAACCCGAATTAAAGATATGATGCGTGGATTTGCCATTTTTCACACTGTAAATACACAATTTTACGATTTAGAAGCGACTGTCAAAGCATGTAAGAGCATATCCACTAACGAGTTGTTATTATTAAATATTTATCGTTCTTGGACAAACGTAAACACAATATATATTAATCGTTTGGACAAACGTAAGTACTGTGTTTGCGGGAGTTTCTTACGCTCGTCTCTCTTCATGAAAATCTCTCCTTCTACAAATGTTTTTTTTGGGTGGTAAAATGTTTAATTAAGTGAAAAACATGCGTGTAATACATACTTGGCAGCTTTTTCTACGAACAAAAATATTAGGAGCTTTCAAAAATCGCCTATAAGAGAATCTATAAAGGTAAAAAAATAGATAAAACGCTCTCAAATTTGAAACTCTAATAGGTATGTGCTTTGCAAACCGGTTGATTGAAATGAGTCAGACATCCATCTTCTTAGCATAGTGGCTTTCTGGTCGATCATGTCCCGATATAGCTCCTTTTTTTCTTCTGGTAAACGGAAATCAGGAAAACAGTAATTGGCAAAATAGAAGGAATATTTTTTTGTTGGTCAGTGATACAGAGTTCAAATTGATTTTATATTTACAAAAGTATCTTAATAAATTTGCATAGTAAAGATTTACAACTAATAAAATTACAATCTGAGACAGTTTATGTGTAAACAATACAAAAAAGTAGATAAGAGTTATATCCCATTACGTGATTCATAAAGTAATATCTTATATATATAGTAAAAGATCCATAAAATATATAGTACTTTAATTCATTTCTGTAAACTTTATGAAGACACGTATAAAAAGGGGTGATATGTCAACTTCAGAGCGAAGTATCAGTTTGTCTCACGTACTAATGTTTAGCTATTTCAGGAATAAAATTACCCAACTTTATTTGGTTTTCTGTATTTTGAATGTATACTGAGCCAAGTTCAACGGGACCATTAAGTGACCCGAATGTGGTTCACAATTGTACACCGTCAGTGCCAGTATACAAACACAGCACTACAAGTTTAATCTTGTTCCTGTATCCAAACACTCGTGAAAAAAAGGATTTCCAACTAAATCCAACACATGCGACCCGTATGACTTCCCTAACAAGTCACTTATTTCTTTTTATTCTGTCCTCCTAAAACGGACAAGCAAGCTACAAAAAGAAAAAAGAAAAAAAAAACAAACGTCAATCGCTGGAGATAATTGATCGACCGTTGGATTAATTGTTAATGGGTCCCACTAAAATCGACGATCCAGATCTTCTCGTTTAGGTGCACCTCAATACATCTCAATTTCGTTCCCCTATTTCATTTGTCTATAAAAGGTGAAACAAACCTACGGATTTTCTCCTTCTCCACATATATCCATCGTGTTTCAGTTTCTTGTCTTGATTGCCCCTCCGAGGAAGAAGACGAGAAGAGGAAGAAATCGGAGGAATCTGTAACCGTTTTAAGATCTATTAGGGCTTTTTTCCCCCTTTACCCAGTGGTTAATTTAGGGTTTTTCGATCATGTCGGATGCGTATTGTACGGATTGCAAGAGGGAGACGGAGTTGGTGTTCGATCACTCCGCCGGAGACACCCTTTGCTCCGAGTGCGGCTTGGTTCTGGAATCGCACTCGATTGACGAGACCTCCGAGTGGCGTACCTTCGCCAATGAGTCCTCCAACAGCGATCCGAATCGTGTCGGTGGTCCGACCAACCCTCTTCTCGCCGATAGTGCCCTCACCACTGTAATCGCAAAGCCCAACGGCGCCTCCGGCGATTTCTTGTCTAATTCTCTCGGGAGGTGGCAGAATCGTAACGCCAACTCCGATCGTGGCCTGATCCAAGCGTTTAAAACCATTGCCACCATGTCCGAGAGGTATTGCGATTTCCGTTATATTCCCTTTTGAGATCCCATTTTTTAGCAGACTTTTCATGTTGGCTCTGAGATTGGATCGGATCTTTACAGCATTTTTGAAAGAATTTATGTTGGTGGTTCCTTCGCTTGGAGATTTTGATTTTGTATGGCCTTGCTTTGATTGATCACGCAGACTTTCTGTTTGACAGATCCACCTCCTGCATAATTATTATCCTTCGTTGATGATTTATCGTTTTGAGAAATGAGGTTCCCTTTTGTTCAAATGCGCATTGCGAGTTTTGTCCTTTTTGATGTTGCTGCTGCTGCTGTTGGTGTAGAGTGTTTGTTTATATTGGCTGATTCGTGTGAGAGTACTTACTTGTTGATTGATTTTGGTTTTCAGGTTGAACCTCGTTTCAACTATCAAGGTAAGCTTGTTCATATCTGTTAATCTTTGTGTTGTAGCTTTAATAGCCTGCGTATTTGTGCACTAGAAGTTTAAATGTTACTGGTTCGGTATGTGAGATTGAATACTATCGTTTACGGATATGGTTGGTGATGTGTAGGATCGGGCTAATGAGATATTCAAGAGGCTGGAGGATCAAAAGTCAAGCAGGGGAAGGAACCAGGATGCACTGTTTGCAGCCTGCTTGTACATTTCCTGTAGACAAGAGGACAAGCCAAGAACTATAAAGGGTACAGTTGAAAGGTTTTTCATTTGAGAGAGAGAGTGGTTCCCTCTTATATTAGCTTTTTGTCATAAGTCAATCAAATTCCTCAACCTTGTGAATAGAAATCTGCTCTGTTGCCAATGGAGCGACAAAGAAGGAAATTGGACGAGCAAAAGACTACATTGTTAAAACACTGGGGCTTGAGACTGGCCAGTCTGTGGAAATGGGCACTATACACGCTGGTGATTTCATGGTGAGTTTTGATTTAAATTCCTTACGAGTGTGTTGCTGCTACCTCTTAACTTTGATATGCTAGTGTTAGTTTTTGTTGACGGTGTTGTTGCTGATATTGCAGAGAAGGTTTTGCTCTAACCTTGGAATGTCTCACCAAGCCGTGAAAGCTGCTCAGGAAGCTGTGCAAAAATCTGAGGAATTTGATATAAGGTACATTTCATTTATTAGCCGATTTCGTACCTTGGACTTGGTAGGCATAGCAGAACCTTTACTGATATAATTTATTTGACATCTTGAAGGAGGAGTCCTATATCAATAGCAGCAGTAGTTATTTATATCATAACCCAGCTTTCTGATGACAAGAAGCCTCTCAAAGGTTTGTTTTTTTGTTTTGTTTTCTTCTATAAATTGATCTCATTCAAGCAAAGATTTATGAACATTTCTGAGACTGATTAATATTATTGGGTGTGCAGAAATATCGCTAGCAACAGGAGTAGCAGAAGGGACAATAAGAAACTCATACAAAGACTTGTATCCTCATCTTCAAAAGATAGCACCAAGTTGGTATGCCAAGGAAGAGGACCTTAAGAACCTCTCCAGTCCTTGAAATTAGTTCTTTTATTCTTCTATGCAAAAGATTTCTATCTTATCTATCTCTTTACGGAGGAGTAAACTTGTTTTTTTTTCATTTTCTTTTTTTTGAGTCTTTGTTAAGGTTCTTGTAATGCGTTTAATATTTGAAAAAAGAAAACAAAATTTTCATAGAAAGAAGTTTTTGATTCACTCTGATTTCTCATGCGATTCTCATTTTGTGGTTGAAAGGCAACTTAAAACTGAGCACTCTCACGAGAAGTTTTTTTACATGTTAAACTTCAATCGCAAAATCAGCTTTAAATCTGTTTGGATTTATTGGGTTTTGACATGTTAAAACCTCAAACAGAAAAGAGAGCATTTGTATAGTTTATTTGTTACTCTATCGGTTTATTTCTAATGAATTTTTAGATGATTTTAAGTTAAATTTGGTTTGTTATATTTTTAATTACCAAACTCTACTAAATTATTTAAAGATATTTATTATTTTTTAAAATCTACTAATTACAATATTTTCAATAATAGTTGAATTGATTTAGTTTTTACAAATTTTTGATTGAATAAATAGAAATTTAAATAATTTTAACTGGTTTTATAAAAATTGCATGTTCAATAATATAATTTTTGGTATGATATTTAAAAATCATTAGTTGAATAACATAGAATTTTAAAATAATTATAAACTCTATTAATGTCAAAAAACCTTCGAGAGATAAAAATGCTAGTAGATTTTGGAAATACAAAGAGGAGATAGGACTCATTTTGTATTTTATCACAAAGTTAAAAATATTATTCTAATTTTTTTGTTTTGGCAAAATCTGATTCCAAAATCCAAAAATTTCCCACCACCAATTTATTTTCTTGGAATATATGATTCCAAACATTTTTCCTCAAAAACATATTCTGCAAATTTCTTATAGAAATTATGAATACAGTTTTTTTTTTTTGACAAAAATTACATTGAAAACATTATTCCAACCCCCCCCCCCCCCCCCCCCCCCCCCCCGCCCCCCCCCCCCATTAAAATATAATTAAATTTTCTATCAAATATAGTTCTAATTTTTTTTACCAAAATCTAAATTCATAAATTCTCAACCAATTTCTTTTCATGGAATAGATGAATCCAAACTTTTTTTTTCTATAAATGATATTTCTGAAACGTCTTAGTAAAAAGATTATCTGCAAATATTTTGCAAAAAAATATTAAGCTGTAAACATGATTTCTAAGACTTTCATGCTGAAACATATTTCTGCAAATTTCTCATAAAAATTGTGTATACACAAATTTTATGCCAAAACATTGCTTCCAAACATGATTCCAAACCCTCACACCAATAAAATGCAATTCCATAAATTCTTTGTCCAAATATGATCTGCAAATTTTCCACAATATTGTCTAAAAAATGCTACTTCACAGATTTCTAAGTAAAAATGTTATCTACAAATATTTCACAGCATCGACAATAATATTTCCAAAAGTTTCATACTAAAGTATATTTTCGTAAATTTCTTCGAAAAATGTGTATAGATAAATTTTCTGCCAAAAAATTACATCAAAAATTTGATTACAAAACCTCCTCCACTAAAAATAGAATTTCACAAATATCTGGTCAAAATATATTCGTTAAATAATTTACATTATATTTTTAAGTTATCTTATTAAGATATATTAAAAGTCATATAAAATCTTTAAAATTTTACCGGTTAGTAAACTAAGATCAAATTTATTTTCTTCTTTTTTTTTGAATTACAATTGGGTATACAATATTTATAAATAACTATGATTTTAAGTATGTCTATGGAAACCAATAGTTCTTGAAAATTATTTACCCATTATGTATATAGACAATAGCAGATCATAAAAATTCACTTCTTATATAGAAAAAGGAATTTGTGTATAAAAAGACTATGCTTTTATCTTGTGATCGTCCCATTTTTTTATCACTTAGTGAATTTGAAAAGTGAATGATTATTCTGATCATGTGTTTGTGTATTTATAGATCTTCTAAATTCACTTTTTATTGTGAAAATTTCTAATAAAGTTTTTTTCTATCTTGCAGGGCAATCTAAGGAAGTTTTTTTCCTATCCTCAATCTAGATATTATTATTCTTAGAGCCAATGTATGTTAGATAACGAAATAAAAAAATTGGTCGAAACATATTGATAGAAGTAAGCGAATAAAAACTGTAGACACTAATTTTTATTTGAAAGAAGTAAGCGAATAAGTAATCGGCGATACACTCAAAATAAACATATACTTAAGTTAGTATTGTCCAATGATATATTTATGTATATTATTAAAGTTAAAGACCATATTCCTCATCGATCTCGAGAAGTGTAGAGAAAGTAGAAAGTCCAGGAAATGAATTGTGTTTTGCTTAGAGAACTCCTTTACCTCCATAATATGGTGTGAAGAGAATAGTCAGTGAACCTATAAAATCAACAAAAACATGTAGAATTCCTGAAACGTGATGGTGTTGTGTGGTGTTGTGCAGGCAACGAAGCCATTCAATTATTTTCCTATACAAAAAGAGATCAATGTGTCTAAATCACTGTCTTTGTTCCTGTTTATATAAAATTATGAAAATGGGATTTATTTCGTCAACTAAAACATGAAAAGGAAAATTTTAATACCATCTTTGAAGTACTTACGTGATTCTAGTTTTTCGGCCACGCTTTCTCTTCAAACTTGTTATTTTCTAACGTGACCATGCTTTCTCTTCAAACTCTACAAATATAAGTTCAAAGAATCAGTTTAATTGAGAAAGAGAAGAATCAGTTTAACAACAAATCGGAGAAAGAGTTATGTGACAATTCTATATGCAAACTGAATTCTCCAAACTAAAAAAAATGCAAAAGACTATACGAAACCTTAAAAGAGGGAGAAAAGTATCAATGTGAGAGAATAGTTTTTAAAGATGTTGGAATATTTCTAATTTAATGTATAGTAGATATAATGTTTAGTAATAAGAATAATCTATTAATTATTAGTTATTGTTATTGTGAGTTAAAATAGTGTTTGGTTTTAAAAATAGCATTAGACAAAAATTAAAATTAATTAAATAAAATGGTTAGAATAATTGTGGTGTTGACACATCAGTCTATAATGCTTCATTAGATTATTAATTCTTTCTTCGATTTTATCTCTATTTATTCTTTTTATTTTGTATATTTTGTTATTTTTTTTCATTCCTATTTTTCTTACTAGGGTTCACCTAGAGCCAAAAGACCAGAAAACTGTTCCATATATAAATAGCTGATTTGAGAAAGAAAAAAAAAAGAAATTGCAAATCCATAAACTTACGATGGCGTACGACTGCGGAAACGGAGACGGTGCCACCAGGCCCACCACCGCTTTAAGAAGCCATGGCCACCGCCACGGAGACCCCAAAATGGAAGAAGCAAGAGATCCAAGCAAGGGTGTAGACTCAATCAGCTCTCTGCCTGATGAGATCCTCCACATTATCCTCTCTTCTATTCCGACCAAATTCGCCATCAGAACTTCCACCTTGTCCAAACGATGGAGGCATGTATGGTCCGATACACCTTCCCTCTCCTTCAATTTCGCACGTAGTAGGCCGGAAGCTAATTCGATAAACAAAACCCTAGATCGCTACACGGCTCGCAAGATGATGAGTTTCCGGCTCTGTGCCAGAATCAGTCACTATATTTCTCACATTGACAGATGGATCAAATTCGCCATGTCCAGAAACGCGGAGAATATGTCGCTGAGTTACGGTTTTCATGTTCCTGATTACTTCTGCATCAATAACTCTGTGAAACAACTCGATGTTGCACTATTGTATTTTTATTTGGAGATTCCCAGTCGTTCCGTGTCCGTGTCTTGGGCATCTCTGAAGATGCTGTCCTTGCGTCGGTGCAGGCTCTCTCGCGTATGCATTGATAAGATTTTATGTGGCTGTCCCATTCTCGAGAGCTTAAAGATTTATTTCTGCGATGATGACCTTAGGGTTCTTGATGTCAGGAAATCGCAGAGTCTGAGAACATTAGAAATCGACCGCAACATTAGAAAACCGGGTCCGACGCAGATTGTTGCGCCGCAAATCCATTGCCTCAATTTGCGCAACTCTCAGTTACCATGTACTCTTGTTGATGTCTCGTCCTTAACCGAAGCTAGTCTATATTTGTGCTTCTCCTCAACTAAAAAACTGACAGCTGAATTTCTGCAAGACATGTTTCTAAAGATACTAGACAAGTTGCAGAATGTAGATAAGCTTACTTTCGGGGCAAACTTTCTTGAGGTATGTTTTCGTGTATTCCAAGGTAGGTCTGTTGCAGAATCTCTCCACTATGATAGCCAATGGACTAGTTTTCATTACGCTTTGATATCCAACAAGTATATGCTTTATGCACTCTGTTTGTTAGTCTATGTTGATATTGTTATATGCACTCTCTGACTCTGACAAGTCACCAGCTATAGATGTTTGTAGAATAACTAATTCTTGTCTTTCTATGGTTAAAGCTCTAATTTTATTTATTTATTTATTAACACCTCCTTGAGATTTGTGTTTCGATAGTTACTACATGTCATGTGATTTTTTTGTTAGATTTTATCTCTTGCCGAGCTCAGTGGTGTTCCTTTTCCGAGCTTCAAGGTCAAAGATTTGACGTTTAAGACATTGGTCTATCAATGTGTAGTTCCTGGCTTAGTAAGGTTGTTACAAAACTCACCCGAATTGAAGAAGCTAACAGTACGCACAAGGAATCCCGGCACCGTACCAGTATATTTTCCCATTAGCCTCTTTTATTTTCCTTAACCAAACCATATCTTCTTTCACTTTTGTGCGATCTGAAATACTGGAAAATTTGTTTGCATAATCGAAAACCTTTTAATGTTGTACAGGAGAGACAGATCATTGACATGTACTTGGAATTGCAAGGCTTGAATCCGGTTCAATGCTGGAACGTCGAGGCGAGGGTCACCGAGAAGGTGGCTTCGTTGATGGAGCTCATGCTTAAAACCACAAAGATATTAGAGAAGATGGTCGTAAAGTTGGAAGGTTATCTTGGAAAAGGACATTTTGAAGAGTTGCTTGGGATGGTTCGAGTGCTCTCTGACAACAACCACAATGTCTCCATTGTGCTTAGCAGATGAAAACTTTTCTATATTTTGTATGAAATCATTATGACATTTATTGGATTAAAGTATTGAATTTATATATTTTATCTTCATAATTATGACATCATATAAGCGTTTCTCATGTAAATATCTATACAGTAATAACAGTAAAAAAAAGCTTATGGTAGTCAAAAATTGTTCCGTCTCTAATAGTAGAAAAAAGTCACCCAAAATTTTCTTTGACCAATGCAACAACCATCGTTGAGCTCACTGCAAAACGAAAGAAACGAAAACACTCAACTTCTCATGGTGCTGGCGACCAAGCGGATGAGAAAATCTTATATGATAAATTTTGTTCATTAATAGCGTATCTGTAACACAAACCATCATGTTTTACAGCAAATTTGATTCAATTACATAAAAAGAAAAAAAAAAATACGGGTTAACAATATGAACATATATATTAAGAGTCCCGGTAGAGATAAACCTCCATCTCTCCAGAATACCTTTTCGAAATCAGCCTCGATATTGGTTCGTTAGATATAAACTGATAGTTGTTCGATCATCATAATGACTGCCGAAAATGAACGTGTAATATTCGTTAGGTTTCTCGATGGTGAAGTGAAGGTATACTGTCTTTGCTTGACTTAGGACCGGTCAGGACTACTTCTCCCTGTGAGCTTGTGCTATTCTGAACAACTCTCCAAAAACCGGACTCACGGCAATGATCCGGACTTGCGAACTTAATGTTAACTTCGGTTGATTCATGTATAACATTATATGATGAATTTGATGATGGTAATACAAACATAATTGGTGTGGGTGCTATATTTGGATTAGTGAAATAATGGGTTCAATGTAGGAGATTAGGGAAATAATGGGTTCAATGTATAATATACACACTCTAATCTTTGTTATTTCTACTCCACACGCAAGGTTGAACTTGCTTGTTAGTTAAGCTTCTAAACATATATTTTTTTTTCATACGTGGATATGGGTTACGTACGGCGTTACGGAAGGATCATGGAGTTAATGGACCGTAAGCCACTCTTCCCTGGACGAGATCATGTTCATCAGCTTCGCTTGCTCATGGAGGTAAGTAGTAACATTTCTCATTAGCTGTATTTGACTAAACAAAGACTCAAAATTTTGCAGTAAAGAAACAAAGTTGGGCGAATTTTCTTTTGGCAGCTCATAGGAACTCCATCAGAAGAGGAGCTCGAGTTCTTGAACGAGAATGCAAATCGATACATAAGACAACTCCCACCGTATCCTCGCCAATCCATCACTGATAAGTTCCCGACGGTGCATCCTTTAGCGATGATCTTATCGAGAAGATGCTAACATTTGATCCTAGACGGAGAATCACAGTGATACATATGAAGCCCATCATCCACCCATTATCTACCAATACCGTCGCAGAGGCAAGGCCCAAAAGGAGTAGAAGAGTGGCTCTGTAGCAGGATGGTTCTAGAAGGAAGCATCTAGAAGAATAATCACGTGTAATAGCCGTGCGAGTAAGGGAATAACGGCGCACATGGGGTGTCGAGGGGAATCATACGGGTAGGATCAAGGAGAAAGTTATCAATCAATTGGTCAAAACAGTCAAGGGAGGAGAGAGAAACTCCATAACAGTCTCTCAAATCTGTATTCGTATTTGCCAAATCAGTAAAGTAACTTTCCATTTATCGTTCTTAAGCTTTTATTCCGATACACATACACGTAACACACAGGTCAGCCCCCAATCGATAATACCATTTTACTTGCAAAGACACGACTTTCTTGTGCGGATCATTCCAAAAGCACGAAAACAGATCACTTTTAGTGAAGGTAGGGAGTTTCTGATTCTTGAGTAAGTTAGTCCTCACATCTTCTTGATTTTTTTATTTATGATTCAGTTTTAGACGTTCTGGAACATCGATGGAGAGGAGGCAGAGGTAAGAGGAACGGTTGACATTATCAACAAGTGCAACGACCCGATCATCCAGAAGAGGATGCACTTGTGGAAGAATGAAGGTGGAAAAGAGACGGAAGAAGATTGGCTTGATACACTTATCGCGCTAAAAGATGAGCAAGGAATGCCTTTGTTCACATTTGATGAGATTAGAGCTCAATGCAAGGTTAGTGATGTTTACACTTCGAGTTGTTACAAATAAAATAAGGGTTTCATTAATCTCTTATGCATATGTTATGCTATATATATGTAGGATATAAATGTTGCATCAATCGACAATACGATGAATGACGTGGAGTGGACGTTAGCGGAGGTGTTGAATCAACCAGAGATTCTTGAGAAAGCCATAAATGAACTGGACATGGTAGTTGGTAAAGACAGGCTTGTCCAAGAATCAGACATACCTCAACCCAATTACATCAAAGCTTGTAGCCGAGAATCTTTCCGGCTTCACCCAGCTTGTAGCCCGAGAAGATACTACCCTCGCTGGTTATTTCGTTCCCAAAGGTAAAATAAAAGGAAACTAAGAAACAGTCTAGAAAATGTAAAACTAAACAAAGCAGAAAAAGAGCTGCAGCTCTTAATAGATTATCTTATCTAAGTTAGAAAAAGAAAAAAAAAAACAGTCTAGAAAATTTCAGAAAACAGAAGAAACTCTTGTAACAAGAATACAGTGTTATTCTATAACAATCAGAAATACAGTGGATTTTGCTAATGTTTGTAAATCTACGTAATATATATATATATATATATATATTTTTTTTTAATTATTAGGACGTTCTGAGCCAAAGCTTATAATCCTTCAGGTCTAAAACCATAGTATGTAATAGTATATAATATTGGTTTTGTCTCAAGCGTTACTCTCGATGTTGTGACCTCTAATATATCATTAGACATGCATGCATGTATAAGTGGAATGTTATCTTATATCTATCAAATGCTGTGTTTAAGATATCTAAAGAGACGAGTTGATTAGTTAGTATTCACATCTACTTTTTCTTTTTTCGTGTAGATATAAGTTAGAACATCTATTTAGACATGTCATATGTACATCATTTTTGTACTATGGCAGGCGCGTGTCTATCGTTTACGCAAGGTTAACGCGTATTAGTTTTAGTTGACTTTTAAAGATAGGATGACATTTTATTATTTGCCATAATCGGAAAACATGTTCAACAGATATCGAGCATACAAAACCATGCATATGTAACACACAAAATAGTAGAATTCTATGTTATTTATTAACAAAATTAAACATTGCATATTAGCAAAATAAAAAAGTTACATGTTATTTTTATCTTATATTGGCTAATGGCACTAGCATAACAACTCTACGTTTTCTGAGAAACATATTTGACATTGAGCAATATGACACTATATGAAAAATACAGTGTTGTGTGTCAGTGTGTGACTGTCCACCAAATTCACCCACAAACCCCTTGTAAAAAAACAAAAACATCCAAAATTTCAATAGTGATGGAATTTGGGGAATTTTAAGTTATGAACTTTTGAGTGTGTATTTTACAAGAATTTCCCACAATTGAGGTAAAGCCCAGAGTATCTATACTTGTAATTTGCTATAATAGCATGTTCCTTCAGATTTTACTGATTCAGGCCCATCTCAACCCATTATTTAAGTAACAAAGAAACAATATTATTTAATATAAACTTGAACTCTTTCTTCTCTCACTCGATCATCCTTCTTCGTCATCTTCTTGTTCTTGTTCTTCTTGTTCTTCTTCTTCGTCTTCATCATCTTCTTTTCAACCGATAAGTCACGGGCCTGTCAAATCTCAAATAAAATAAGCCAAGCTTATCATTTCCTTTCTTAGATTCGCCTAGGAGTCGTTTCCCCTTTGGTACCAAACCCATAATCAATTTACACCACCTGCTCGACGAAATTACCAAGAGAATAATTGCTTCTGTAGTAAGTTATTGATTTCTCTTATGGGGGTTCTCTTCCTTATCGTCTAGATTCATTGCGTATCTGAATCTCTTATGTTTTGATTTTTTTTCTGTTAGTGGATCCGGAAGCATCATCGAGCCAGAAGCCGCCCGCTAAGGAGGAAAAAGAAACATGTAGGTTTAGCTTATGCCTATGCTGTTTATAGGAGCTTCAATTTCTGCTTGATGACTTTGAATTTCTAGGAGACATATCTATCATATACATTGCGTGCGCTTGCACTGTATTTGGTGTAGTGTAGTAACTTTTATTTACTTCTGGTGCCAGTAATGGACAACGACAACGCTGAAGATGCTGAAGGGATCATTGAGGAATATCGGAAGGAGATGGAGGAGATTATACAGTCTGGGATTGGGATGGAGAATATGCGGGTGGGGGTTACAAGAACCTTTGCCAACTTAGAGGCAAATCTTGAGCCTAAGATCAGTGGATTATCCCAGGCCGTTCGGAAAACGAAGAACGAGACGTTGGAAGCCATTAAGTCGATGTTTGCCGACTTTAAGGCTAGCGTCCGTAAAGCAGCCGAGACCGCTCTCGAAGCTATGGAAGCATCATCTTCGAAAGCTCCTTTGCCTAAAGACGTTCGGTTCCAAGTACAAACTCTTCCGGTGAAAACAAGCGATGTGACAGATGGAGATAGCTTCAGAATTTATGTCAGGACTTCAGACCTGCTCGAGTTACCGCAATTTGCAGAGGCGGATGAAAGAAGCTTGCAGTGTCTTTAGAAACCTGATGGCTTGATGGGAATATGCTGCTAACAGGGGAATAGATGCACCAGAGCAAGCAATGGAGTTCGGGACGGAGGCAAAAAAAGAGCTCGCGAGGATTGTTCGAGGGCAGACATTGACATTGGATGTTTATAAACAAGACGACTTTCGTAGATGGGTTGCAGATATTTACACCGAAGACGGCACATTTGTTCAGGTAATATAACTTGTCATTTGATGGAAAAATGCTGCTAATATAAATATATCTTTTACGAAAACTTTTTTCCTGAAAAAATAATTGGTTTCTTGTGTAGGAGTTAATGATAGAGAAGGGTTTTGCTTGGCATTTTGATCGTTATGATACGCGCGAGAATTTGGCACGGGTAAGTAAAACTTGTGATTTATACTTGTCTCTTCCATATATATATTTTTTATAACTAATCATGTTCTATTTTATGTGGACATTAGTGTCAACGAGGCACAGGCGAAAAAGGTTGGCATGTGGGGTTCTAGTACACCCCCAGAGAAGCCCTGGAAGTGGAGACATAGACAGAACTCAGAGGCATGGGCTTTGCACAAGTCTCGGGAGTCTCAGTGACTGATTTGCCTGGACATTCCTTGTCTCACTCGATATTATGGTCTATTTGCTTCTCAACCGATAAACAAACTCTGACGATGACTTAGAACTCTATGTTCCATCTGCGTGTTAATGAGCAGCTTGTAGGCTAGACTTTATGAGAGCAGGAAAGATTTACAGCCTTACTTTGTTTTCTTAATTTTATAACATTCTACAACTCTCGCAATGGTAACAATCTTGCATCTGACCTTTTAATGATCGAGCACATGAGGTGAACATGGATTGTTGAGACTCTTTTGCTCAGATGGGAGTCTCTCTACTTCCTCACTCGTCTTCAGCCAATTCAGCCATGTCTTCCTCTGTAACATCAAAACCAGGGGAAGAAACATATGCATCTGCATTTGGAGAAGCCTGTACACATCTGTTTCATCTTCATTTTAGTCCGGCCCTAGGTTTGGTTTTGTCTATCTAGTCTATAAACAAGCTCTGACGAGGACTTAAAACTCTATGTTCCATCTGCGTGTTAATGAATCTTAGGCTAGAGAAACCAAAGCTAAGGCTACTAAAAAGGCTAAGTTTCATGAATCTTGATTTTCACATTGTGCTGTGAATTAAGTAAATATCTCAACAACTCTTTTCTATAATCTGGTGGTTGGTCAGAGATACAGGGCAAGGGTTTGGTGAGGGAGGTTCGATATACCAAACAGTGAATTTTTAATAGATAACTAAATCAATCCACATCATCAAGAAAATATGATGAAGAACATAAAACATACACCGACCTGAAAAACGTTATAATCTTTCACTTAGCATCACAGATTACTCATACATTCGTTTCATTTCTCCTCTGAATCTCAGTTTCTTCTTTAAAGACTGTTCCCACTCGGAAATAAGTCAAACAGAGTAAAAAAAAAAAAAGAAAGACTAACCAACAAGCCTTCTTGGAGAGCTAGTTACTTCGCAGTTTCAATAGCTTCCTCACTGGAAATCTGACAAGAAGCAAAGTAACAGGCGAAGTTGAGTCTCAAGATCCTGGAAACAGTTTTATCCTACTCTGTTTCATGTCCAGTTTGTATGTCAACCGATAAATTTTTAGAAATGGAACCATATGACTGTATGATTATAGAGAACCAAACAAATGGATCATACCGCAATGTATTCATCTACAATAGCCTGATCCAAATTCTTAGGAATAAATCCAGCTCCGATTCCTTGAATCTTGTGAGGTCCTGCACTTCAAAATACAAGACAAATAAAAATGCAGGGTTATGGAATAAAAAGTCAGAGATGGAAGTAAACAAAATCACTGGCCATACCGGGTTTTCCAGCAGAAAGTAGAGCGTTTTCAGTTGGTTCTACACCTATAACCTGGTACACAAAAAAACATCAAATAATTAAACATAAAATTTACTAATCCAAAGAATAGCCAATCTCTAATTATAGAGGCTTCAAACATCCACAGATGTATTCATTTCCAGCTGAGATGCTGATACCTTCAATTCGGCATCTCTGAGAGCTAATCCGAGATATAACCGAATCGTTAGCCGGATAAAGCCCATACAACTCCATGTTCTTGAACGGCGCCATGATGAAACCAGATTTGCAGCCTAGCTTCTGATATGGCGTCAAGCACCTGGGATTCGAGACCGATGCAAAGGCGTTGTAAGGGCAGTTGCACAGATGTATTCATTTCCAGCTGAGATGCTGATACCTTCTATTCGGGTTTTCTTTCTCTAACGAATCGACCAACGCCAGTGATAGTTCCTATTCACGCAACCAATATATCCACCTTCCCTCTTGTATCTTCCCATATTTCAGGACCAGTAGTCTCGTAATGAATCTGCATATTCCTTGAATTAAAAACACAAGCAAATACTTGCAGCCTAAAAAAGCAGAAACTAAACAGTAATACCAACGTTGATACAAAGGGAAATGCAGAAGAGATTCAATATTTTCTCAAACTTGAATCTTTCCCACTCTCTTATGATGGTGCAGAAGCAGAGGTGACACTAGCTCATGATTTATGGTAGAGAGTATTATGGAAGAGGAAGCAAGCACAGACCTCTTGGGATTTGCTGGGTTGTCAAACTGTTGGAGCATGTAGGAGTTTGGAGTGTTTTTCAAGATTTCTTCAGCCTTCTGAATGTTCCAGTCATGCCTTTTGCAGGCTCAGTTAATACAAGCTCAGCTCCAAATGCCCTCAAAAGAAGCCGTCTTTCCAAACTCATGGACGAGGGCATCGTCAAGATAAGTTTGAAGCAGCAATAAATGCAAGACCAATCCCTGTGTTTCCACTTGTAGATTCCACAAGAACGCTCTAGAAAAGCGCAGCGAAGAAAATATAGTCAGAGGGCTTCACGCTCAATGCAGAATAACGAACTTTTTGCAATACAATGTCTATCGCCAGTGAGATTTCTCGAGTCAATACATTTCCAGGTGTAACGAGTCCTTTTTGCTCAGCATCAGTAATCATACTATACCCAATCCTGACATCACAGTAGCAGCAGAAACTCAGGATATAAAATATGTGAAGATAAGCAACACGTAAACCAAATCGGTTACACAAACCTATCCTTGACACTGCAACATGGTTCCATGATCTCAAGCTTGGCAGCAACACTTGCGACACAACCCTTGACTATGCTGTTCAAGTACACCATTGGAGTTTTCCCAATAAGCTGAATCAATCCATCACATAAGGAATTTAAAACTCAAAGGAGATCAAAGCAAATTGTATTGTATCCTAAAATGAGAAAATTGAACACCAATTTAGCTTTTCCTCTATCTCTCTTCTCTATCCAGATGCAATCGAAACACTAAGTAGAAGAAAAAACCCATCAAACCTGAGCGGCATTCTCGGCGATATCGAATCCAGCTTCGGGCTTCACAGACACAGCCTTGCACACAACATCGCTACACCTCTGGCTCTGTCTCTTGAGAGTGAGAGCAGCCGGGAGAAAATCGCAAGTAGCCGCCTTTCTAGAAGATAAGGAGACAGAAGAGAGCTCTGGCGAGTATTTATGCGGCCGATGGGGAGAAGTCAACGGATTAAGGAGCAAAGCAGAGGATGATATCGCAGCCATGATTGCTCTTTCGCTCTGTTATTTCCCTTACTTCCCCAAAACCGGAGACACAGAGAGAAGTAGAGAGAGGGAGAGAGAGACGGGGATCAAACTTTTAATTTCAAGTTCTTTTGTTTTTTTTTTTTTTTTTTAATCCAGGCAAAGGTAGATGACAATAGCTTATTCATATCACCCAACCAACTATCTATTTTCGAAAATGGAACTAAATGAAGAAGGAAAAAAACCAAATTTTCATTATCTCCGGCAAAATTAGCTCCGGAGACTTGTCTGAAGAAATTTTACTCAGATTGAGAGCGTGCATCACCGCTAAAGCTAATTGCGGATCCGAGAACACAGCAAATGCGAAGGGCTACAAAACAAACACAGTGAGATTCTCTCTGTCTATTCACCGGGAATCATCCCTACCCAAATTACATAACTTCCGAGAGTTAGAAAATGATTACCTTAGCTCCATCGGAGGCCCGGAGATGCGAAGTCTCGTATCCTGGGAACTCGCGAAAGAGATTATAGATCTCCCGGGGCTTGACGTCTTCGGGAAGTCCGGCGACGAAAAGCGTACGAACCTCATCACGACCACCGATTGAGGCTTGCGTAGGCAAGTAGACGGAGTGGATTGGAGTGAATGAAATCGGAGCCACTCCCGGCGGCGGCGGAGTAACGATCGACGGGGGATTAGAGTGAAAATAGTATGCTGACGAATCATCCATTATTGACGACGGCTTATCACGTCGCCGGCAGAAAATGTTTTACAGCTTAAAGTGGTTTAGTTCGCCTTTGTTCAGTCGGAAGAAAATATCATCAGGAAGTGTTGCATATATCCGCGCCTTTTTTTCTTTTCTTTTTCCTTTTTCCATTCTTCTTCATTGCTCGGTCAATCCAACGATAGAACAAACGAGGCTTACGCTAATGGCATGTGATGGCACGCACGGTAACATAACTGTCTGTCTCTCCTCTCTTCCTTCTCTTTTGGCAAATTTTTTTGTTTTGTCCAAGGATCTGCAACTTCACAACTGCTCTTTCTCTCTCTCTCTAGATTGAGGCATTATGACGGAAGAACACATCGACCAATCACCACCACATGGCCATCTACTTCCGCTTTCGATGGATACTTGTCGGCCTTATCGCCAATTCAGGCAAGCTCTTTACTTTCCGCCTAATCATGTAATGTGGCTCAAAATGTTCTCATGTGATCTTAGTGCGTATGATCTAACTGGTAGGGAAGTGAGAGGGTGGTGGCTCGAGTACGAAAATTCTTTATTTTCCATTTTGCTTTGCAATCTACTAAAATATTGAAATGCAAGTTAAGAAATTTGAGGACCCTCGATTCACCTGAAAATGTTGTAGATTTTCATCGAGTGATGGGTTTCTTTTGCTGTTAAATGTATTATAACTTTCAAGCGGAGAAGATCCTCGTTGGGTATTGCTTTGTAATGTAATTGAGCTTCTTGTTGAAATGTGATGAATCCTATGGGGAAGTGATGGTTTGAACTTTAAAGACTGCATAGGGACTGTAAGTATGAGAATCTTGTATCTAGCTCTTGGTCTATGAAACACACACACAATATCACATATTTTAAGCAATATATAAGTATATGTGTTTCGCAAAAATGAATTTTGACAACCTTTTGTTTGGGTAATTGTCACTTTGCTGTGTCTTGTGTGGCTTTGTTCCTTATTTTGGTTGGTCCTTCCATGTTTCCACTTGGTGATAATGTGGGGTCTGTTCTGGTAGCTTTGGTTTTAGTCTCTAGTTGGGTGACAGTTTATGACAAGCTCTTCTGAGCTTTGAAATACTTTAGCACAATTGTTCGCACTACTGTTTCCATCATATGGGTCTAGACAACCTTGTTGCTGTAGAAGTTTATGTTAGATTTCTGTTTCCATCGTCTTGCAGCTTGTTCGTAGCAACAGCCGTCGATTTATGCCATCACCAGCAGATGAAGAAGCTCATCAATCATCATATCTCCAAAAGCACATGTCAAATATCATTTCTCTCCTTGCAGAGCCCGTGGAGGGAGAAGGAGATGAATCTTTGGTTTGTGCAAACCTTTCTTTGTCCCATTCGGGAAGGAGTTACTGTTTCTTTTAGATGGATGTATAAAACCCAATGTCGCAATAGAAATATTGGGATATGAAACAAAACCCGCATCTCTTTCAAGATGGTTATTTCATCACGGCTTAAATGGTGTTATTTACTTTTAAGTGTCCAAATTTCCTCCTCAGGTCCTATCCATGGAGAGTTTTGAGCACATTGGTTTTCTTCTTCATTTTGGTGATAAGGGATCTGATGTACCTTCTCTGAGCCAAGCTACAGCTGATACATGTATGTCCATGCATTTTCTGATTACCCTCTAATTCAAATGGTTGGGTGCTGTCTGAAATGATCTTTGATCTTTCAATCCTATTTCAAGAGTGTTCTGTGTTCGTAATCATTCTGACATGTGTCTTGCTTTCCTACAGACTTTATAGAGCTTAACAGACATCATATATGTTCAAACACCAAACAGCTTTTTATCTTTTCTTACTTCTTGTTTTCTTTACTGTGTGCAGATTCGTTTGAGAGAATATTGATGCTGTTCATATAGCCATTTCCCTGGTGGACCACTCCGTTTTATCTGAAGGCTCTGGGACTGGCCACAAACTATGTGTCATGGATGCTAATGCTGAGGCATCTAGCATGATTAGGCAATATGGGTCAGTGTTTCTGCATTACGGCGATCTCCAAATGACGGTAGAGTATTATGCACAAGCTGCTGTTACTGTAGGCGGGGGACAACTAGCTTGGTCTGGAAGAAGTGATGTGGATCAGCAGAGGCAGAGAAACTTAATGCTTGGGGCAAGAGGTTCTGGTGAAGAAGGTCAGCTCTGAAGGTTCTTCCCTGATTCTCGATTGAGACATCAGTTCTTGATTGAAGCTGCACATCAATGTCAAGAAGCTGGACTGTACGACAAAGTAAGTAGCTTCTGATCCCTTCTAATATCGTCTAGACCTTTCTCTGTTTTAATTTTTTGATAGAGCTGTTTTCCATTTATTCTCAGTCCATATAAATACAGAAGAGGGTTGGTGCATTTTCGGCTGCCTTGGAGACTATAAACAAGTGTCTATCTGAAGCCATTTGCTCTCTTGCACGTGGAAGGTTGGATGGTGAAAGCCGAACATCAGGGCTTATTCTCGCGGGAAACGAAATTCTTCAAGACTTACAAATATTACCTTGAAGTTAGGTATTATTAATATTATTGCAGGCTAGATATCTTTATCTTACTTTTCTTCAAGTTGAAAGAAATGTGCTCAAGGAGTCTGTTGTCATTTTCACAGTCTCGAGGAAAGAGAGCGAGTGATGGAACAAGAAACGATACTAAGAGAGCTCGAGGCAATACTGTCGATCCACAAGTTGGGTAGACAAGGGAATCATCTGGATGCTTTGAGGGAAATTGCAAAACTTCCATTCCTGAATCTTGATCCAAGAGTGCCCGATGCAACCGCTGATATATTCCAGACCGCATCACCTTACTTCCAGACTTGTGCCCCGGACCTTCTCAAAGTTGCGCTGACTTGTCTGGACAATGTGTCCCGGACCTTCTCAAAGTTGCGCTGACTTGTCTGGACAATGTACCTGACACTGACGGGTCAATCCATGCCATGAGATCCAAGGTACATTAAACGAACGAGAAAAACATATTCCTGGCTCTGTATTGTTTTATAATGTTATACTTCGCATCAGTTAGTATATAAACCAACTTTTAAATAGATCAGCTTTTTACTCACAGGAGCTCACGACTCCTTTACTTGTCCCACCTCGTGGGTCTCTTCCTCTTCGTCTCTCCACGAACTTCCCTGAGCAGCTCTTCAAGTTCTTCACATAGCGGTTCTGGAGTCAGCTGAACTATCTCTCCATCATCGCAATCACTACCCTCATTTGGATCTGTCCCGCCCTCCTCCTCACTTAGCCATCCACACTGAGAAGTCCTGGAACCTAAAAAGTTGAAGTTACCTCTGCAAGACAAGTATTCATTCATGGAATGAGATTATTATGGCGACAAGTTTGTTTTACCTCCAACAGAATGCTGTGCATAATCTCCTGATTGAATAACCGTTGGTGATGCATAATCCATTATAGGCTTCTCCTGATTGAATAGCTGCTGGTGATGACCGCCCTGCTAGTGATCGACAAAGCATCAGTCTGTGCTCCTGTCTCCGCACCACACACCACCAAAGATGTTGAGTTGCTGCCAACATGGGTTCTCCTGTCCTCAACTTGCTGCTCCTGTAATACAGAAGACAGATCATGATGCAATTCAAAAACACCCCAGTCGTTTGTTTCTGATACTTGATCACCAAAACAAAGCATGCAAGCAAAACCAAGCTGAGATAGAGAAAGAGTAGGAAGAACAAAGAATCACCTTTTCTTCTTCCTGACCCCTGAGCCGTTTGTTCATGTTCCATCTCTTCGTTTTGTACCGGGGCCATTTCTTGTTTCTGTTTTTCTTCTGGTTTCTTTGTTAGTTCCTGCTGCTTTTCAAGGCACTTGTCTAGAAGCACTTGGTAACTATACTCTTCGAAACCCAAGGCGAAAAATGTTAGTTTCAAAATCAAACAAGGACTATGCCAAAATAAAGTAGTAGGCGGTGCAAAAGATGAGTAATATCATGATGTGAAGTATGAACAGCAGATTATTGCAAAACATTCCGCCGGTCTACAGCTGTTTTTCGCATTGTAATGGAGACAGAGAGACATTCATTTCATCACTTTAGCATAAATGTTGACAAGCTTATAACAATCGGCAAAAATCAGATGCTTTTTAAACGAGTCAATCAAACAATCGACAAACCAACCATCAACAAAAAGTCAGATTTTTTGAGGCGATTAGAAACACTAATTTGAAATCAAAACATCCAAAGCTAACATCTTGACCCAAGCTGCTTCCATTACTCGGCGGCGGAAGATGTTGAAACCAGATGAAATAAAAATGCCAAAATGAAAGCAGAGCAGAAAACACCAATCAAAATTCCTGAGTATGTGTTAAAAAATTAGTCCGAGGACCACGAAATTGAATCGAAGGAAACTGTACGTTAAAAGATCACTCGGAAGTTGGAAAGACACACAAAGCTGGTAACGGAGAATCGTGCCCGACGCAAGCAGAAGCCTAAAGATTTGAATCGCCTATCTTCTTCTTCCCTTATTCTGGAGCCGATCGTAATTTGTTGTGTCGAGTGTCGACTATTTGTGGAAACGTTGGTCTCGCGTACATCCACGCGCTTCAACTGGGCCTTTATCGTTTGCCGAGCCCAATTCCTTGCTATCAAGCCTTTCCTCTCTAACTTCAAGCCCATCTCCATTTTCGTATTAGCAATTTGGTAAATTACGTCTGCCATTAAATAGAGGTTAGTAACTTATGGGTATATACTAAATTTGGTAAATTCCGAGGTTTTTGTGAGCGAAATGAAGACCATGGTCAAACGAAAAGTCGAATGATCTGACGGTTGAGAATTCATTTGAGGTGGTCCCGACGAAAAATCTAAAACGGCAAAACGGGGAACGCTTTTTCCCTCCCACGCGCCTCCGTGGACTGTGAATTCTGGTTTGATTAATTGCTGAATCTCTTTGAGGAGGAGAATTGGTTTAACTTTCCATGGTTTTTAGATGTTCTTGAAGAAAATTTCCAGAACGAGAGATATTGTGAGCGGATACTGAACGAGCAGAAGAAGCAAGATGCTGAAATCAATGAGCTTGACAAGGATTCGGTTTCGCTTGGCTTTCTCTCCTGATTGCTCGAGAATCTCTGGCAATCTTCTTGTATTCACAGATTGATTATGAGTACTTCGAGGCCATTGGGTTTAGAGACCAGAGAGAAGGTGAGCGAAATGCCAAATGGTACAAAAGAAGATGGAGACAGAGCTAATCTAACCACAGTGATAGCAAAAGCATGAACACGAGTTTGATCATAAACTTGCTAGACAAAAGGCAGAGACGGTCCTAATAAAGAAGAGACAGAGCAAATATAACCACAGTGATAACAAAGGCATGAACACAAGTTTGATCAGGAACTCTAAGCAGAAAGAAGGGAGCCAGTGAAGAAGTCAACCCAGTCAAGACCTAAGATCGTCAAGGGTCCAGCTGTTCCTGCACACAACATTGGATTTGATAGAACGAATCAGACAAAGAGGTGGGCAGACAATGAGTGAACCAGTCACCCCAATAAGCGAGTTGAACAGCAAGACAGGCAAGGAAGTAAGAAGCATAGCCAAGGAGGTCACTACTATAAGCTCAAGAAATTAGATCTGCTTCAACAGTTAATCAGGCAGCTAACCGATCGTACAAAGCAGATAATGGAGTCATATCCGATCTCACTGGTATAGTTAACACTAGAAAATTACAGCACAGTCTGTTTTTTTGAGCTCGAAGGTGCAACCATTACCTTGTATACTCACTTATGTCTGTCCCTTATCTCCGAGAAGATGATAGAAACTGTTGTCTTGAAGGGTTTGAGCCTGCTGTAACTGGGCAAGCATGTCATGCATTTCACTTAACACAGTCTTCTTGAAATCTCGAAGCTCGTCAGATACTGCGTTGATCTTCTCCAGCATTTTTGCTTCTATAGCGTCACAATTTGTTGCCACTATTGCTGGGATTTCAGTAAGCATTTGCTTAAACTCCTGCACAAAGAAGACAGAGAAACGAAACCATTACAGATGCTTACAAGTTGCAAACACAACAAAAAAAATCATACCTTATGCATTTTTGTGATCTCAATAGCAGCATCGGCATCAATCTGGTTCCCTTTCTTCTTCTCCTTCTGCCTCTGCCTCTTCTCTTTCTTCTTTCTGGCCTTTTCTTCTTCCTGTTTTGGTAGATTCTCAGTTCTCTTCTCTATCTCATGTTTTCGTGCCTCTCTCTCTGCAAGTAGATGTGCAGAGTAAGTTTCATATGCTTTCTTTGCATCATCGTCGTTGATCGTAGCAGTCATTGCACCATAATTGAACGCCGAGTTTCCACTCATATTTGCATTTATTTCGCCGGGAGTGTTGAACTTCTGAAAACAGCTGATCAATTTTTCGCCATCTTCGCAAGTCTCAGGAAGAAACTCCATGGCGCTCCTAATGTTGGCCACCACCAGTTCGAGGAACTGGGTAGCAGCTTCATAATCTTTGTGCATCTACAAAAGAAATAAACTACTCTGATTTCGATTTCGATTTCTAGACCTAAGTTACCGAGAAGATTCTGGATTCTTGAAGACCTAATTTCCAGAGAAAGTATCTTACCTGGAACAAGATTCTGGAACAAGAGAGAGAATCGTCGCTTCTGTAACCAGAGAGAATCGGCGTCTTGATGAAGTTTGATGGAACGAGAGAGAGAGGATGATTGAAAAGTTTGATTGAACGAGAGAGAGAGGATGAAGTTTAAGAGAAATTTGCTCGAGGATCTCACAATTTATACGGCGGGAATCGGAGCAAAAAATACATTTCTTTAAAAAGTTTAAAAATCAATCGACTGGTAAAAAAGAAATTCCGAAAAGAAATAAAAAAAAGTTTTTAGTAAATCCCAAAACCCTCTCTTCGCTTTTCCGACTGCGTAGCTCGAATCCACCAATATCAATGGCGAACGACCAAGAGATGAGTGGATGGACTGATCTTCTCCATTCTTCGTCGAAGCTTCTGGAGCAAGCTGCTCCTTCGTCTCAGTTTCCTCCTCTTCAGGTTTTTCAGCTTTCCGCTGCTACTTGTTTTTTTTTTTTTTCCTTCTCCTCCGATATCCCTCTAGTTTCTCCGGATTTTTTTTTTTCCTTTTCTGCTCCGTATTTTAGATTATTGCGATTGATTTGTCTGTGTGTCGCTATCAGAGGAATTTAGATCAGTTGGAAGCTTTGTCGAAGAAGCTCAAGGCTAAAACCCTAAGGAACGAAGCTCCTTCTCAGTCTATCGCAGCCACAAGGTAATTCTCGACTGTTTTTCCGCTTCAATTTCTTGGATTTCAAAAGGGAGTAGCAAGAGATGACTCTGTTAGATTGCAGACTACTCGCACGGGAGGGAATCAATGCTGAGCAACTAGCTCGTGATCTCAAATCTTTTGAGTTGAAGGTGAAGATTTCTTCTTACTCTATATTTCATCTTAGCTTACCCTGTTTATTGTCTGCATACGTTTCTTGAACGATTACTTTGTGTATTGGTGGGTTTTGCGTTGTGATAAGAAGGTCCAATACTTTTGACTAATACATATGTTTTGTCAATCGAATCTCCTTCGTTAGTTGTCTTAGCAAACGGGTTCATGACCCTGTCATTTGTCCGTTTATTGGTCTTAGTAGTATGCTTACACATCTCTCAGCTTGCCGCCTGCTTTTCAAATGTGATTATTCATTGCGCCATTACTTGTTTTTTTTTCTTTCTTTGATGCTCTTTGAAGACAACATTTGAGGATGTGTTCCCCGCTGAAGCCACGAGCGTTGAAGAATACCTGCAACAGGTACTTCCCCTTTGCTCGACGGTTTTCTCAAGTTTACACTATCTTTATAGATTGATGACTGACTTGTTATGATGTGTGGTGTTGATTTTTTCTTTCTTTCTCAGGTTCATGAAATGGCTATGGTATTAGCTATACAGGAAGCCCAAAAGGACAATGTTCGAAGCTTTAATGATTACATGATGAAAGTGCTGGAGGTTTGTATTCTGGCCATCCAGATTTCCATGTTTGATTATATGCTTCCCTTCTTTTTCCTCCTAGCCTTTTGTTTTTTTTTCTTCTCAGTATGCTTTTGCGTACAAAGATTGATAAGTGAGTAGTTGTGGGAAATAGAGGCGCGTATTTTGTTCTTTACTGCTTAATAGTTGTATATACGGAATGCACTATGCAACTAGATAATGAAGGAGGCTTTTGTTGGTTGGATGGTTTGCTTATTGACATATTAAAAGGATGTGCATGCTAATTTCCAAATATTGGACGTGAATCTGAAATGACAGGACGATTGGAGAAAAGAAAAACGTGACTTCCTTCAGAGCCTTAGCAGGATTTCAATGTTACCTAAAACGAATATGATTGATACAAGCAGAGAAGCTAATGCTGGTCAATTAGTGCCAGTGGCTTCGGGTCCTCGAGTATCCTCAACACCAGGCAAAGAACTTGTGGCTCTGGCTAACATACCCATTCATGAGAAAAAAACATACGTCTATGGAGAGGTTGTGAAGAAACTTAATACTTCAAGAGAACGAGGCTTGCCTTTTAGAGTACGGATTTCCTACACCTTGTCTTAATATTGTAGTAATGCTTCATTTTGCTTAAGATCCTGTTTGATAAGTGCAGCTGAAAAATATTCTTTTTCCTCAACTACTTTTCAGCTTTCGATAAATATTTCCTTTGATGCAGCAGAAATTAAAACTGGCTACTTTTCATATTTATTGTTTTGGTGTACTTGCTACTGATCCCAATTCATACTTTTTGTATAGCCTGCAATGAGTTTTAAGGACGCTTATGAATCTCTTGGTGCTGAGGTAACTCGTGGAAAGTCAGTCAACATGCAGAAAATATGGCAGCTTGTTCAGGTAATCTTTTGAACGGAAGTTATTTAGTTCAGCCAGGCCACTCTCTAAGGATTGTTCTTATATTTTTTGCCTTTCTCGTTTTCATGCAAATTTGTTTCTGATTGTTGACAAACTTTTTCCAGGCAATAACAGGTGAAGACTCGGCAGTTCGACAGGGTGTTTCGAAGAGGATGTCCCTCGCGATAGGTGCAAGACGCCATTTACAACGTGGGCATGAGAAACATATAATGGACACAATTCAAAGTCACCCTACACAAGTATTCATTTCTGTCTCGTTTTTAATTTTTTGTACTTGATAATAACAGCTGATACATGTATGTCGATGCATCTTCTGATTACCCTCTAATTCAAATGGTTGGGTGCTGTCTGAAATGATCTTTGATCTTTCAATCCTATTTCAAGAGTGTTCTGTGTTCGTTATCATTCTGACATGTGTATTGCTTTTCTAATCCTGTTCCAGGCTTCTCTTGGTGGATCTGTTGGAAATTTGCAAAGAATTCGTGCTTTCCTTCGGGTTAGTGTCGCAGACTTTATAGAGCTTAACACGCATCATATATGTTCAAACTTCAAACAGCTTTTTATCTTTCTTATTTCTTGTTTTCTTTACCGTGCAGATTCGTTTGAGAGAATATGGTGTTTTAGATTTTGATTCACCTGATGCCCGTAGGCAGCCTCCTGTTGATACGACTTGGCAACAGGTTATTGATGATTTTCCTCGGACTTTGAAATTTCAACATTTATTTGAGATATAGAGATTTTCATTGCTGATCTCTAGGCCTGTTTGATATGGAATGACTGATATCTATCTCTTGTGTCTCAGATATATTTTTGCTTACGAACTGGGTATTACGAGGAGGCTAGGGAAGTTGCTCGGTCAACTCGGTCAGCTCAACAATTTGTACCACTGGTATGTCTTCTCTAAATACTTATATATGTTCAAAGAGTTTTGGATCAGCACTTTGGTTACCTTTCCTTTTTGCAGCTTACAGAGTGGATTACCACAGATGGTATGGTGGCTGCAGAGACTGCAGCTATTGCATCAGAAGAATGTGAGAAAATGCTAAGAATGGGTGACCGGTTGGGTAGAACGGCATATGACAAGAAGAAACTCCTACTCTACACCATCATCTCTGGTTCCCGCAGGCAAATTGAGCGCATACTGAGGGATCTCTCGACGCTCTTCAACACGATTGAAGATTTCTTATGGTTCAAATTGTCATGCATCAGAGACGTTGCTGGTGGATCTTCATCTGTGGTCTTGAATGATGGCCTCGCGCCGTACAGCTTAGATGATCTTCAGTCTTATCTCAATAAATTTGAGCCTTCGTACTACACGAAGAATGGAAAAGACCCCTTGGTATATCCATACGTTTTGCTTCTCAGCGTTCAGTTGCTTCCGGCTATCATGCACTTATCCAAAGAAGCAGGAGACGGAGGGTATAATATTGATGCTGTTCATATAGCTATTTCTCTGGTGGACCATTCCGTTTTATCTGAAGGCTCTGGGACTGGCCACAAACTAAGTGTCATGGATGCTAATGCTGAGGCATCTAGCATGATTAGGCAATATGGGTCAATGTTTCTGCATCACGGGGATCTCCAAATGACGGTAGAGTATTATGCACAAGCTGCTGTTACTGTAGGCGGGGGACAACTAGCTTGGTCTGGAAGAAGTAATGTGGATCAGCAGAGGCAGAGAAATTTAATGCTGAAGCAGCTCCTGACCGAGATTCTTCTGCGGGAAGGTGGTATTTACTTTATGCTTGGGGCAAGAGGTTCTGGTGAAGAAGGTCAGCTCGGAAGGTTTTTCCCTGATTCTCGATTGAGACATCAGTTCTTGATTGAAGCTGCACATCAATGCCAAGAAGCTGGATTGTATGACAAAGTAAGTAGCTTCTGATCCCTTCCAACATCGTCTAGAGCTTACTCTGTTTTAATATGTTAATAGAGCTGTTTTCCATTTATTGTCAGTCCATAGAAATACAGAAAAGGGTTGGTGCATTTTCGGCTGCATTGGAGACTATAAACAAGTGTCTATCTGAAGCCATTTGCTCTCTTGCACGTGGAAGGTTGGATGGTGAAAGCCGAACCTCAGGGCTTATTCTCGCGGGAAACGAAATTCTTCAGACTTACAAATATTACCCTGAAGTCAGGTATTATTGCAGGCTCGATGTCTTTATCTTACTTTTCCTTTAAAGAGATGTGCTCAAGGAGTCTGTTATCATTTTCACAGTCTCCAGGAAAGAGAGCGAGTGATGGAACAAGAAACGATACTAAGAGAGCTCGAGGCAATACTATCGATCCACAAGTTGGGTAGACAAGGCAATCATCTGGATGCTTTGAGGGAAATTGCAAAACTTCCATTCCTGAATCTTGATCCAAGAGTTCCCGATGCAACCGCTGACATATTCCAGAGCGCATCTCCTTACTTCCAGACTTGTGTCCCGGACCTTCTCAAAGTTGCGCTGACTTGTCTGGATAATGTACCTGACACTGATGGATCGATCCATGCCATGAGATCCAAGGTACATGAACTAACGAAAAAACATATTTTGGTCGAATTCTATATTACAATACAAAAGTTCATAAAACCCGAGTCTCTGAATTGCATTTGGCAGATTGCTGGGTTTCTTGCAAGCAACACGCACAGGAACTGGCCTCGTGACTTGTACGAGAAGGTGGCTCGAAGCTTTTGAACATTTTTTGAAATTAACTATGTGCCTTTAGTATGTTTCGCTCGACTGAAAACATATTTTGTGTTGAGTTCAGTTACGTATGTTTCAATGTAAAAATTTAAGTATGCGCCTTTATTACCATGTTTTCTTTCCGACTCAATTTTAAAATGATGTCAACTCTTAGATTTATTTTCTTAGATTTATACAAAAAGTCGAGCGATTCAAAATGATGTCAACTCTTATGTCCTCCCGTATGACTTCATGCTGAAATCCAACCGTATCATCTTTAAGTTGTAACTAAAATTTGGACTCATCTACATTCTACATAATTAAACAGAAACAATTTCTTACAATAAATCGAAAAGACAATTATGATTATAGAAACCAGTTGGCATTAGTTAAGAGGCTTGGGCATATTTTACCATTTGATAATTGTGGAGTCCAATTACCTTTCAAAAGTTAATTTATAGTGTGTGGCCTCATCTTCTGTTTAACACACAATGGCCCATCATCTGCTTTTAATCCAACAAAACAAAATTCGTCCAAAACCGAACCGGACCGGGTTCGAAAGATTCGGTCTATTTTTCGTGTGTGTGTTTCGTCTATTGAGAAGCAGTTTCGGAGGAAAGAAGAAAGGTATAACACTGGAGAGAGAGATGAGGAAGGTGAATACGCTTCTGAAACGAGGACTCAAATTTGTTGAGGATAACGTTTTGCTGAAGATCCTCCAATCTGAAATTCGTCACGAAGTCTCCAACCCTCGTTTCCAGGTACTCGATTGGTGTTGGAATGTTGGATCGCTTAAACCCCTAAGGCTTTATAAGTGTTTAGTAGATTCGCGATAAACAATGATTTTGCCTTTGTCCATGAACTCAGGGAGCTGAGACTGGTAACCTAGGAGATTTCAAATTGGATTGGGATACTTCGGAGAGCCAAGATATAGTTCTGAGGAGACAACTTGATTCAGGGGAGGAGGTCGTCGTCTCAGCTTTATTGCAACAAAAACCCATAGAAGAAGCTGGTACAGCGTTTCCAAGAAGAGCTCTGGCCAAAGTATGCATCAGAAAGCCTGGACTCAGCTCTATCATGCAGTTTGATTGCAGCGTTTCCGAAACAGCTTCTCGAAGCTCTGTTTTCGACATAGAGAGAGCCTATTTATTCCGCTCTTTAGTATCTTCGCCTTCTTCGATTTACGGAGAGCACTTGTTCAGGTAAACTCACTCACTTGGTACTCCCTGCTCTATGGTTCTCAGAAAAGTTTCTTCTGCTCTTTAGTGTTTCAACTTACTTAAATCATCATATATTTTCCCTATTTTAATGGCAAATAGTGTTTCAAACTTACCATATTCATTAAGTGGCATTTTGATTCTAGTAATCTTTATGTTAGGCCAATTGTTTCTCAACTGTAGTTAGAAGAATCCTTAATTCTACTTAATTTGATTAATCCAAACACCAAAGCATTGGTACAATCTTGTGTGTTTGGAGTATTCTTTCTATATATCTACAAAGAAGCAGACAATTATAGTGAATTTTGAAGAGTGTTTTTATATTGTTGTACCAAAGTGTATCATGGGTTCTTGTTCTGCATTTTCTCGATTAAAATGGCCAGTGTCATTTTTGTTTTTTCTTTTGGCTCTTTAGGACATTAGATCCCAAACTTCAGGATGCACTGAAGCAATACCTTACATCCAAGGGAATCAGTGAAGGACTGACCAATTTCCTCTTGTGTCATTTGAACAAGAAGGAGCAGGATCAGTACGTTAACTGGTTACGCAAGCTTGAATCGACAATGTCGCGCTCTGTGAAGCTGTGAGCTCTTCACTCCATTTGTTGCTCATTTGTTTTTTTTTTTTACCTTTTCTTTATTCTTCTTGGGATTTTCTTGCAAATGTAATGACCTCGAGAGAGTAGCATACTCAGCTTTCCCATGGATCTTTTTTTTTTTTCTAGGAAATTTTAGTGACCAAATATATGTTAACTGGTAACAAAATGGGACCCCAAATCTTATGCTTTGGTCTTTTCCATATGATTTATGTTGTTTCTGAATTAATAGCTCATCATAATATAACTACAAACTCAGGAAAATTTGACTTCGTATAAGAACTTTGATTTCTCTAAGCCTCTAAACATGTCAGTGTGGGTTATGTTTTTGTTGCTTGTTTTTGGCATACAAAAGTGTAAAAATGAGAAAAAGGTGAAGAAGAAAAGGAATAAATTTTGTTTTACAAAAAAAAAAAGTCGAATGAGAACAAAAGTTCCGACATCGGCAGCGCCAAGTGCTCTGATTCCTCCAGTGGCTCCACGATCCAAGCCGGGGCCGGCTTTTCTCCCGTTCTACGGGTTTTTATAATCCATTATTCAAAACAAAACTAAAGCAACATGTTTTTTTCAATCAATATTGTTATTGCCGAATCTTTTACGAATGTTAAGAGTATGTACAAGTGAAACGGATAGTTCAATCATCATTTTATTTTCAATTGAGTGGTTCCAAGTGGACTTGGAAGTTGAGAGTAAAAAACAGAGGAAAATAAAATGAATTTTGGAGCAACATATTCTTCTCTTTTTTTTCATCTCTTCATATTCTTGATTAAGGGAAACAAAATAAAATTCAATGCTACTGAAAAACAAGTAGATTAAACTTGTAGTGTACCACAACAACCAGTCAAAAGTCTTAATAATGTTGCATGAATCACAAAACACTAAAAAAATCTTATGTTAGTAGACGTATAGTTGTTGTTTACTACTTATATTTGTTTATTCACACTCTCGGAAACATAAATATGTGACATAACATCATAGATAATAGTAAAAAGATACAGTATAATAAAAAGCATAGATCTTGAGGCTTCAAATGCAGAGACACCCAAGAAAAATAATACAAATATCAAAGCTTATCTGTGGACGGAAGTAAAACCTCCTAAATGTTCGTCCGGGTCGGATCATTTGATTTGATTCCCTTTAATTATCCGAATAGATGAAATTCGAATGAAGGTAAGCCATATGGGCCCTACCCAAAGTATATGATCCGATTGACTCGGGTCGGGTTATAATAAGCATCAACCCATTTGCTAGAGAACAAGTGTAAAGAGGAAGACTCAGTCCTCTCTCTCTCAGCAGCTGCCTTCGCGCCGGCGAAGTGTACAGAAACAGAGCTTTTCTCAGTTTTAGAAGAAAGTGAAAAACAGAGAGTGAGAGTGAGTAAAAAGATTAAGAAAAATGTCGAACTTGCTTAGAGATTTCGAGGTCGACGCTAAGAATCCGTCGCTTGAGGCGCGGCAGCGATGGAGGTCCTCAGTCTCTATCGTGAAGAACCGAGCTCGTCGTTTCCGTAACATCCGCGATCTCGATAAGCTCGCTGCGTACGAGACTAAGAAGCACCAGATCCAGGTTCGAGTTCTTGTTTCTGTCCCAAACTCAATTTCTTTCTTCTTCTTTTCTTGGGCTTGTTCATACATAAGCAACGACGGATATGGAATAGTGTGATTATGGCTATGCTCTTTAGATTAACATAAGGTTTATTTGTTATGAATTTGCAAACATTTTGGGGGAACTTCTTAATATTTTAAGAAACACTTTTCGTTTGAAAAGAATTAATAAAACTTTACAATCACCAACGTAGACTTTTCTGCCATTGATGATCCGTACGAAAGGAGTACAACCAGAAAGGCTTTACTTTTGATCTCTAATTTTCTATGCCAAACTATTTTCGTTTTCTTTCTTTTTCCCACTACTTTTTAATTAGCCTAATAGAGAATTAGAAAGCATAAAAATAGAAATAAAACGCTAGTCTTATCCTTCGATTGACTAAGAAATGGAGATTTTGAAAAAAATAAACTCAGGGAAATAGGAATCAGGGGATAATGAAAAATATCCTAACTTTGAATTATTTCTTTGTGTGTATTTTTTCAATTGCGGAAGCCAAAGAAGAATAATAATTTCAATTGCCAACACACATGATGATGACATCAAGTTGCGTCAAGCTTTAGTGTCCTAGACTGTGTTTACAAATGGATACATTCTTGTCGCTACTAAGAAGATGAGCCAAATTTTGAGAGGCCAGCAAAAGTATGACCCTTTTAAGTTTTTACTATTCTTGGTCATCTTTGCGTCTGAATCCAAACTCCAAAGGACGAATTCTAGTATTAAGACATGTGCTTTTTGATATGAAATTCTCACTTCCTATTTTCTTGAAATCAGTTTTGATTTTGGATAGTTTTTGGCTTATGGTACGAGAGTACGTCAGTCTCTTTGACTTCTTGTGTGCAATTATTTAGCGTAAGGAAGTTACAAGGAAACTTCGCCAGGTGTGTTCATAAGCTTCTGAAACAGATATTTCATTTTTATCTGTCAACTTGCATAAACCATATGGATACATTTTTCTAGATTCTTTTGGTTATGAGCTCATCATGGTCCTATTCTTTTTTTGCCTTTTGGTCAGTTTTCGTTGCGTGTCGAAATCTAAACTCGTTTCAGTCTTTATAAATAAGAAAAAGGTTTTTATAAACAACCATTGAGTAAAATATATTACAGCTTACATTCATTAACTCAGGTTTCAAAGCATAATTTAGTGATGGGAATGATAAACACTTAGGTGCTATTGTTAATTCTGGTTTGAGCTTTAAATCCAAAGACATTTTGTTAGATTAGATCAGTGTTATATATAATTGAAGTCCAAAAGCAATTTGCTGGTGTCGCAGAGAGCGTCACTCTTGCCATATAAAGCAATATGAAAATTAAGTTAGCAATGGATCTTTTCGGTTCTATAAAGCAAATATGCAGAGAGCTTCACTCTGCCTATGTTGATTGTACCATAGAAACTGTTCGATCATTCTTCAGTTTCATGTGTGGCCAAAGATTCACATGTTGTGGTGTTTTATCTGTTAGCTCACTTTCTTTTCTCATAACCAGGAAAAGATCCGAGTTGCTTTCTATGTACAAAAGGCAGCTCTTCAGTTCATTGATGGTAAGATATCCAGTGATGGAATTTTAAGAGAGATGCATGTTGAAGGCGACTTTTCTTGTTCTTATTGTATTTTTTTTTATTTATTTCTGTAGCTGTTGCTCGACCGCAATACAAGCTCACTGATGAGGTTAGGGAAGCTGGATTTTCCATTGAAGCAGATGAACTTGCATCTATGGTTCGCAATCATGACACTAAGAGTTTGTCAAACAATGGTGGAGTTGAAGAACTTGCTAAGAAAGTATCTGTATCTCTCACTGAAGGAGTTAGCTCGAGTGAACTCCCCATCAGGGAAAAGATCTTTGGAGAAAATCGTTACGCTGAGAAACCAGCCAGATCCTTCTTAATGTTTGTCTGGGAAGCGCTACAAGACATAACACTTATCATACTTATGGTCTGCGCTGTAGTATCAATAGGCGTGGGTGTTGCCACAGAAGGTTTTCCAAAGGGAATGTATGATGGGACAGGGATCTTGCTGAGTATACTCTTGGTGGTCATGGTTACTGCCATCAGTGACTACAAGCAGTCTTTGCAGTTCATAGACTTGGATCGAGAGAAGAAGAAGATTATTGTGCAAGTTACAAGAGATGGGAACAGACAAGAGATCTCCATTCATGACTTGGTCGTTGGAGATGTGGTTCACCTTTCTATCGGTGATCAAGTTCCAGCTGATGGGATTTTCATATCTGGATACAACTTGGAGATAGACGAGTCGAGTTTATCAGGCGAGAGTGAACCGTCGCATGTGAATGAGAAGAAGCCTTTTCTTCTTTCAGGAACAAAAGTTCAGAACGGTTCTGCGAAAATGCTGGTGACGACAGTTGGCATGAGGACTGAGTGGGGAAAGTTGATGGAGACGCTGGTCGATGGCGGAGAAGACGAGACTCCTTTGCAGGTGAAGCTAAATGGGGTTGCAACAATCATCGGCAAGATTGGTTTAAGCTTCGCTGTGCTTACGTTTGTGGTGTTGTGCATAAGGTTCGTCTTAGAGAAAGCAGCGTCTGGTAGCTTCACCGACTGGTCATCTGAAGATGCACTGACGCTGCTTGACTACTTTGCGATTTCCGTAACTATCATTGTCGTTGCTGTACCTGAAGGTTTGCCTTTGGCGGTGACCTTAAGTTTGGCATTTGCTATGAAGAAACTGATGAGTGACAGGGCACTTGTGAGGCACTTGGCTGCATGTGAGACTATGGGTTCTTCTACTTGCATCTGCACTGATAAGACAGGGACCTTAACTACTAACCACATGGTGGTCAACAAAGTATGGATCTGTGATCAAGTTCAGGAGAGACAAGAGGAGAATAAAGAAAGCTTTCATTTGGAGTTACCGGAAGAAGTTAAGAGTATTCTTTTGCAAGGCATATTTCAGAACACTGGTTCTGAAGTTGTTAAGGATAAAGATGGAAACACACAGATCCTAGGATCCCCGACGGAAAGAGCAATACTCGAATTCGGTTTGCTTCTAGGCGGTGACTTTGGCGCGCAGCGTAAAGAGCATAAGATACTCAAGATCGAGCCGTTCAATTCAGACAAGAAGAAGATGTCTGTACTTATAGCTCTTCCTGGAGGTGGTGCACGTGCTTTCTGCAAAGGTGCATCCGAAATAGTGTTGAAAATGTGCGAGAACGTTGTGGACTCGAATGGAGAAACCGTTCCACTAACTGAAGAACGCATTGCGGATATCTCCGATGTCATAGAAGGTTTTGCCTCGGAGGCTCTGAGAACTCTCTGCTTGGTTTACAAAGATCTTGATGAAGCTCCCAGTGGAGATCTCCCTGATGGAGGCTACACGATGGTAGCAGTCGTTGGAATCAAGGATCCAGTACGTCCTGGTGTTAGGGAAGCCGTTCAGACTTGTCAAGCTGCTGGGATCACCGTACGTATGGTCACTGGAGATAACATAAGCACAGCTAAAGCAATTGCAAAGGAATGTGGCATTTTCACTGAAGGAGGTTTAGCTATAGAAGGTTCACAGTTCCGGGACTTGCCTCCTCACGAAATGAGGGCCATTATACCCAAGATTCAGGTTCTTTGACGATTGTAAATAGAAATGAATTGTTAATTGTTTCATTTGTCTCTAGACAAAAAAAGCTGAAACTTTGTTTCTCTGCCTATAG